GGACATAAAGTGGGAAATGGAGAAATAAAACCATTGCCGGAGAAAATTCTTACCATAAAAAATATTGCAGTACCTAATTCGAAAAGGAAGCTGAGACAGTTCCTGGGAAGAGCGGCGTTCTACAGTCGGTTTGTCAAAAATTTCAACGAAATAGCAGCACCCTTATATAAGTTATTGAGCAGCACCAAGCTTACGTGGACTGACACTGCCGAACAAACGTTCAACCGAATCAGAAACATGCTAGACGATCGCCAGATGACGCTCAGACTGCCTGAACCGGGAAGACTGTTTACAGTGGCCACAGACGCGAGTGATCATGGTATAGGTGCTGTGTTGAGTCAGGCTGATAGAGTGGTGGAATACGCGAGTAGCGTCCTCACACCTGCTGAACAGAAGTATTCAACCATCGAAAAGGAGTGTTTGACGATCGTGTGGGCAGTGGGAAAATGGAGACCATACCTTTTAGGTATACGATTTCACATTGAGACCGACCATAAACCCCTTCAGTGGTTGAAAACAGCAAGAGACCCCCGAGGGAAGTTGGCGCGATGGATGATACGCCTGCAAGAATACGACTTCAGTATCCGTCATGTTCCAGGAAAAGAAAACGTAATGGCGGATTACTTGTCAAGACCAGACATGGAAGCCGACCTGCCATTAACAGCATACGCGGTGAATAGTTTAGAGGGAGACCCATTAGAACTCGTCCGGCAGCAGAAAGCTGACCCTAACCTTCGAGAGGTAATCCGAGTGATAAAAGAGAGAGCAGACGTAGATAAACGAACAATGGACAAGGAGGTAATAACGCTGCTTCGGCAAAAGGAACGACTGAGAGTGAACTCATGTGGAGTGCTGACCTGGCAGGACGATGATGAGAATTGGGTGGCGGTGATCCCGAAAGACTGGCGGCGTAAAGTGATACACGAGTGTCACAAGGTAGCACATACAGGCATCGCAAGAACGACGGACCTAATACGACAAAGTGCATACTGGCCGAGCATGAGAGACGATGTGGCTGAATACGTGTTAACCTGCCAGCAGTGTCAGCTAATGAAAAGCGATCGATACACACAACCGCCATTACAGTCGATCCCAGTAACCGCAGACGATGGATGTGATGGGACCGTTTCCACAGACGGCGAGCGGTAACCAGTACCTGTTAGTGATGACGGAACATGCTACACGTTGGGTAGATGCCGTACTCATTGCAGACCAGCGGGCAAGGACAGTGACCAAGGTGGTAATCCGGCATATTTTAGCGTATCACGGAATACCGAAGATGATATTAACTGACCAGGGTCCCTGTTTTGAAAGTGACGAGTTTAAAGCCCGTTTAAAGCAGTTTGGCATCAAGAGAATACGAACTACACCGTATCATCCTCAGACAAACGGGCTTACAGAGAGAAACAATCGGACGTTAAAGGAATGGTTAGCATCAAAAGGAGGGAATTGGGAGTTACCATTGATTTTGCTGGCACATCGTTCCTCCACACAAGGAACAACCAAGAAGTCACCTTTCTTGCTCATGTATGGCAGACAACCACGACTTCCAATGCATAATAAGACCTGGCCACAACAACAGAAGTGGACGACAACAAGGTTAAGAAAAGAGAGGAGAGAGGCAATAAGGAACGTGGAAAAGAAACAAATATCAGACACAAAGAAGGTGGAACAACAGAGGAGAACGTGGAAACCCTTTGCAGTGGGGGACCTACTAAAGTGTAGAGAACGAAAAAGTAACATAGCAGGGGGAGAAGGGTCGGGGAAGCTGGCCCCAAAATGGGAAGGACCGTATGTTATCACGGAGAGAGGCGGCTCGGTCTACACGATCCGGAGAGAAGACAAGCAGAAGCGCGTGATTGCTAGTCAGCTACAGAGATGGTTTCAAGATCATCATGTGTGTGAGTCACGAAAAGCACCGAAGGACACAGCGGTACGCAGATCAGAAAGACTACGACGGCAACTTGTTAAAAGGGGGGACGAGTGTGGTGCGTGCTACTTATATTGATATAAGTAGTATATAACGTGAGTTAAAGGAACGTAATGTCTGGTAGCAGAAGATGGAGAAGATCAAGAAAGGAAGAACGAGAACACAATGGAATTTGCAAGAAGTCGCATGAACAATGAAATGTGAGACAATGGATTGATGTTTGCAACAGCAACAGTCCGGTTTGATATGATAGGATGATATTTTGCAAATTGACGATTTACTATAAGGTTTTTCTATTTCACCAAGTAATTCTGTAATTTGTGCTAAAGAAAATTTGGTTGTCCTCACCCGTGTTCACTTGCACTACACTAGACCTTCCTATCCCACACACATCAACAGATGTACGTGAAGAAAGCCAGTGTAGTAGCAGCATGCCTCAACAAACAACAGAAAAAGAAAGAGTAAGCAACAAATAAATCACACTTGATGGAGCTTGGAAAGAGGTGGAGACTTTTGCGTATCTGGACAGTATCAGCAATAAACAAGTGGGATCTAATGCAGGTGTGAAGGTACGGATTGGGAGAGCAAGGGTAGCATTCATACAGTTGAAGGACATATGGAACTCAAAACAACTGTCAGCCAATATCAAAGTCACAATCATCAATACGAACGTCAGGACAGTTCTACTGTACGGAGCTGACACGTCGAGAACTACCACAACCATCATCGAAAAGGTACAAATGTTTATAAACAGTTGCCTACGCAAGATACTCAATGTCCGTTGGTCGGATACCATCATCAACAGCCTACTATGGGAGAGAACAAACCAGCTTCCAGCTGAAGAGGGAATTGGGAATAGACGATGAAAGTGGGTAGGACATACATCGCGGAAACCATCAGACTGCACCTCATGGTAAGCCCTGACTTGGAATCCTCAAGGTAAAAGGAAAAGAGGTAGACCAAAGAACATATTGCCCCTGAAACCTCAGACACACCAAAAGAATGGACAACACTTGGGAAGTTCCAGGGAGAAGAGCCCAAGACAGTGTTGGTTGAGGATTCCTAGTTGGTGATCTATGTTCCACAAGGGGTGCTTTGATGTCCTGGTGTCCGTAAGTAGTTGATTTATTGATACTTTCATTACCTGTTGAAAATGTTTTTTACGCGTTGGCGTCCAAGTTAATGAGTTCCGCATTTCCACAAAGTTGATCTGTTAAGCATCTCATGAGAGACGCGACTCAATATGAACCATCGATGAAAACTGACCAAGCCGTTAAACGTACGTATTCGCTTGACTGTGGTTGGTTCTGGGTGACCCGGAATGGCCGTTATTTTGCTTTTCAGATGGTGGATGCATTGAACATCAATAGTGTGTCCGAGAAGATCCAGAGAGTCGGTTCAAATCTAACACTTCTTAATAGCTGCATTAATGCCGTGTTTTTGAAGTTGTATCGGAACAAGGTCCAGATTCTGGAGGTGAGACTCTCCATCCGGTAATGCGATCAAGCAGTCGTATATATATATATATACACTCGACGTTGAGAACTCTAAAGACGTCGTCGATGAATCTGTGGGAAGTTTAGGCAGCACTTCAGGAACCGAAACGCGTATGCGAAATTCCGTAGAGTCCGAATGTAGTGATGGTAGCGGTGTTAGGAATGTTGTCAGCAGCCATGGGAAATGTGGTTATAAGCTCTATCAAGATCGATTTTCGAAAAAGTCATTTTTTGGGTAGCTGTCAAATCGTGAATGTGCTACAAGGAATAGCAATCGGGAGTGATTTCCGTATTCACTCGCCGACAATCATCAGTTGGACGCCAATCATTGCTGTCTCTTTCAGGAACCATGTGCAAGGGAGATACCCATGTGCTGTTCGTTGGCGGAATAATTTCTAACTTTTCGGGAGCTAGTTGGCACACTTTCAGAAATACAGGTGGCCACATGGTCGTGATATGCTGTGTAACATTGTTGGTTACGCGCAGTAATTTTTGTCATGTTTGGTGCAGTTCTAGGTACACATCAAGTATCCATTCATAGTATGGACCGCTTGTATGCTTACTAGTGATTGAGTATATTTTACAACGAGAAAATGAAGTTATACAAACAGATAACTTAGTATTTCAGTCTGTTGACCTCCTGTTGCTCGTGTCGATAAGAATAATGAATGGTAACTGTTGGAATCTATTTCTGGACCGTATAATTGTTAAGTAGCTAAACTATTCGTATTCGTGTTCCTCTTTCTTTCTACGAACCAATTCTTTCTTCTTGTACTATATCTTTATATGCAATCTTTCTCTTACATATTACTACCTTTGACCTAACCACTGCTATGAATCCGGTGTTCATCTTGTTGTGCTGATGCGGTATGGCAACCTGGACCGATGCACATATGTGCCTGGTCCTACGTTGTAGCTGACTGACTGACTGACTGACTTATCGTAATGTTTGTTTCGATCTATGGAATACTACTATACGATTTATCATTTTATGAGTTATGCCCAGTATATCAAGGAAAGATCCTAAAATATAACACAGTGAGTAACAACGAAGCTATAGTTGATACAAATCAGTCAGTGAGTTAATACATGTAACAGTTTACAACACCCATGGGTTATACTGCTTTGATTAACAATTGTAGCTAAATTGTTGAGTTATATATATTGTGCTCCTTCCTTATGCATTTTTAAGTTGATGCACAGTCAGAACATAACATCGTAATATCTTTTAACAATTGATAGACAGTAGTGACTCAAACTGAATACTTTAACTAGCGTGTCAATATCACAACTGACCGTGATATTAAATGACATGTACTCCAAGATCACGAGTATCTTTAGACCTATTAAAATTACACAATCTTTCTTGAGGAGCAGCAACTATCTCGAGATTTTGGTGAACCATGGCTTTTGCCGATTACCTTCAACCATCCAATATATGGATGATGTAAAATGTTTTTCAATAAGTCAAAAGTGTGTTAATCTATATCTTTGTTTTTCAATTATTTGTTAGTCTATTTTCGTACTCTTCAGTTCGATATTTAAACTTTTCTTTTGATTAATTTTAACACAAGACTTGCAACGGATAGCAGTTGTAATCGATATATTATATCAGCCAAATGTATGCCAACATTTCTACTCGGTGAGCATCAATATACTATTATACGTATTACTGGTCAGTCGTTTATGCTGCATCAAATACGTAAAATGATTGGTTTAGCATTAGCTGTTCTACGTGGTTATGCAACAGAAGCAGTATTTGATATTGTGTTCAGTAAAGAAAGAGTAAGAATAAAGTGTGTACTGTATAAATATCCGTGTTTATTTATAGTTGTTGATTATTTATATGCTTACATACTAATTCTTAGTCTGTCTCCTAACCATTTAATTTATCTGCCGTTTGGAGTGATTACGAGTTCACTTAATTTGAGAACGGAACAAAGACTCTGACCAAAGACCAATAAGCTAGCGATTCTGACGCGTCCCAGCCCCGCTTACTAGAGAGTGAATTTCAAGCTCGAATTGGAAATATATATATATATATACAGATTGAAATCATGAGTCAGTTGAAGCTAGACCACCATTGAAAACCTGGAAGCACTGGACGGCCGTTCCGTCCTAGTATAGGACTCCTCAGCAGTGTGCATCCACGACCCCGCACCCCGCGGGATTCGAACCCAGGACCTACTGGGTTCGCGCGCGAGCACTTAACCATCAGACCACTGAGCCGGCACCCAACGGTGTTAATGTCTAACTTCAACCAATCCACGAAGTTGCGCCACTGTGCACCATTGTCTTCAGTAAGCTGATATCTCACAACAGACCTGGTTGAACTCCACTGGTAACGGCTTCACACTAGAACTCCAGGAGTATCTCTTGAAGTCAATCACTAGTGAGCAGATGACTATTATCAGAAGGGGTTTGTGGAGACATCGTTGGATGCCGGCTCAGTGGTCTAATGGTTAAGTGCTCGCGCGCGAACCCAGTAGGTCCTGGGTTCGAATCCCGCGGGGTGCGGGGTCGTGGATGCACACTGCTGAGGAGTCCTATACTAGGACGGAACGGCCGTCCAGTGCTTCCAGGTTTTCAATGGTGGTCTAGCTTCAACTGACTCATGATTTCAATCTATGAAAATTTCTAAATTCTCCACAAACCCCTTCTGATATATATATATATATATATTTGTAAGCGCTTTTGGCGCGAAAACAAGAAATTCAAATTTGTAAAATAAAATTACGAAAACAAGGTATTTACCAAGTTAGTTCTGGGGATCTAACATCCCCAACATCTGCATAGTTGAATAAGCCTTAAAGATGTGCCGTCAGCACTTCATAATCCAGACCACACATCCCATTCGACAAATAAAGGTATTTGTTGTAAACATAACGTTGTCTTCTACTGTTCTAGTTATAAATGACACACACCTGAAGAAACTAAAGAAATGTTTCTGAAATAAATGTCGACGCCTTTGAGATATTACTTATATGTGATTAACCATTTTGGCCTGCTACAGCTTTGAAAGCATAGCCCGCCGACCAGGAATCTTCAAATACCCTGTTTTGGCATCTCTCTTAGTTACTTACGCCTGTTACTCCCAATGGAGCATAGGACGCCGATCAGCATTCTCCAACCCACTCTGTTCTGAGCTTTCTTTTCTAGTTCTATCCAATTCTCGTTCACTGTTCTCATGTCTATCTCCATTTCTCGCCGTAGTGTGTTCTTTGGTTTTCCTCTTTTCCTTTGGCCTTGAGGATTCAATGTGAGGGATTATCTTGTGACGAAGTTGAATGCTTTTCCATTGTGTGTCGTATCCACTTCCAGCGCTTCCTGATTTCTTCCTCCACTGAGATCTGATTTGTTCTCTCCCACAGTACTCCGAACGACTTTGTCAACTGTCCTCCATGCACGATTTTGCAGTTGAATCCATCATATGAATTCTGTATGATATTGACTATCTTCTGAGGCACGCTGTAGCGTCGAAGAAGTTTCCATAGTGTTGTTCTGTCCACGCTATCAAATTGCTTTTCGTAGTCAATAAAGTTGATGTAGAGTGATGAATTCCATTCAACTGATTGTTCCACAATGATCCGTAGAGTTGCTATTTGGTCTGTACACGATCTATCCTTACGGAATCCAGCCTGTTGGTCACGAAGTTGGGCGTCTACGCAGTCCTTCATCCTGTTTAACAATACCCTGTTGAAGACTTTTCCCGGTATTGAGAGAAGAGTGATGCCCCTGTAGTTATCACACTTGCTGAGATCGCCTTTCTTCGGTATTTTTATCAGAACTCCTTCTTTCCAGTCTTTTGGTGCTTGTTCCTCATTCCAAGTCTTGCTGAAGAGAATGTGGAGTATCCTTGTAGTTACCGGTACGTCTGCTTTCAGTGCCTCTGCTGGAATGTTGTCTGCTCCTGCTGCTTTGCCACTCTTGATTTACCTGATGGCCATGCTGATTTCTTCAATTGTTGGTGGACCAACATCTATTGGGATGTCCGTGGGTGCTGCTTCGATGTTGGATGGGTCCAGTGAAGCTGGTCGATTCAAAAGTTCTTTGATGTGTTCTACCCACCTGTTTTGCTGCTCTTCAATGTTGGTGATTACCTTGCCTTCCTTGCTTTTCACTGGTCGCTCCGGTTTACAGTAATTTCCAGCGAGTTTCTTTGTCGTGTCATACAGTTGTCTCATGTTTCCTTTTCTTGCAGCCTTTTCCACCGTCGTTGTCAGATCTTCCACATATTTACGTTTGTCGTTTGTGGTGCTCCTCTTCACTTGGTTGTTTACTTCTGTGTATTCAGCTTGTGCCTTGGCTTCTTCTGCTCTTGTTCGGCTGGTATTGATTGCTGCTTTCTTGTTCCTCCTTTCTTGAATCTTATCCAGTGTATCAGCAATGATCCATTCCTTGTGATGGTGCTTCTTGTGGCCCAGAACCTCTTGGCATATTGAAGTGATAGCCTCTTTTATCCCTTTTCAGTAGCTCTCCCGGTTTCCCACGTTGTACAAACATTCCACGTACCTAAATTAATGGTTGATTTGTTTGTCAGAAGGTGCATCGTCGTCGTGATTTCCGAAGGAACCCAGTTTTCATCATGAGGCGTAGTTACTCTTCTAAATGAAGACCTTCTGAATATCAAGGTAGAGTTTAAATGGTTCGAATAATTTTTTCTGGTTAGCGTGGTTTTAGCGAGTTAGTTTGCTATGGGATGGGTTCGGTAAACTCATGCCCAAACCCCCTCCTTTATATGGGCTTGAGACCGACAGTAGCTCCCGGACGGACGTCAGGCGGACTTGGCTCCCTCTTACAGTTGTTACCAATTGGAATACATGGTTTGTGTTTATCTCTCTTCCTTTTACCTTGAGGGTTCCATACCAGGGCTTACCATGGGGTGATGTCTGATGGTTTCCGCGATGTATGGCCACCTGTATTTCTGAAAGTGTGCCAACTAGCTCCCGAAAAGTTAGAAATTATTCCGCCAACGAACAGCACATGGGTATCTCCCTTGCACATGGTTCCTGAAAGAGACAGCAATGATTGGCGTCCAACTGATGATTGTCGGCGAGTGAATACGGAAATCACTCCCGATTGCTATTCCTTGTAGCACATTCACGATTTGACAGCTACCCAAAAAATGACTTTTTCGAAAATCGATCTTGATAGAGCTTATAACCACATTTCCCATGGCTGCTGACAACATTCCTAACACCGCTACCATCACTACATTCGGACTCTACGGAATTTCGCATACGCGTTTCGGTTCCTGAAGTGCTGCCTAAACTTCCCACAGATTCATCGACGACGTCTTTAGAGTTCTCAACGTCGAGTGTATATATATATATATATACGACTGCTTGATCGCATTACCGGATGGAGAGTCTCACCTCCAGAATCTGGACCTTGTTCCGATACAACTTCAAAAACACGGCATTAATGCAGCTATTAAGAAGTGTTAGATTTGAACCGACTCTCTGGATCTTCTCGGACACACTATTGATGTTCAATGCATCCACCATCTGAAAAGCAAAATAACGGCCATTCCGGGTCACCCAGAACCAACCACAGTCAAGCGAATACGTACGTTTAACGGCTTGGTCAGTTTTCATCGATGGTTCATATTGAGTCGCGTCTCTCATGAGATGCTTAACAGATCAACTTTGTGGAAATGCGGAACTCATTAACTTGGACGCCAACGCGTAAAAAACATTTTCAACAGGTAATGAAAGTATCAATAAATCAACTACTTACGGACACCAGGACATCAAAGCACCCCTTGTGGAACATAGATCACCAACTAGGAATCCTCAACCAACACTGTCTTGGGCTCTTCTCCCTGGAACTTCCCAAGTGTTGTCCATTCTTTTGGTGTGTCTGAGGTTTCAGGGGCAATATGTTCTTTGGTCTACCTCTTTTCCTTTTACCTTGAGGATTCCAAGTCAGGGCTTACCATGAGGTGCAGTCTGATGGTTTCCGCGATGTATGTCCTACCCACTTTCATCGTCTATTCCCAATTCCCTCTTCAGCTGGAAGCTGGTTTGTTCTCTCCCATAGTAGGCTGTTGATGATGGTATCCGACCAACGGACATTGAGTATCTTGCGTAGGCAACTGTTTATAAACATTTGTACCTTTTCGATGATGGTTGTGGTAGTTCTCGACGTGTCAGCTCCGTACAGTAGAACTGTCCTGACGTTCGTATTGATGATTGTGACTTTGATATTGGCTGACAGTTGTTTTGAGTTCCATATGTCCTTCAACTGTATGAATGCTACCCTTGCTCTCCCAATCCGTACCTTCACACCTGCATTAGATCCCACTTGTTTATTGCTGATACTGTCCAGATACGCAAAAGTCTCCACCTCTTTCCAAGCTCCATCAAGTGTGATTTATTTGTTGCTTACTCTTTCTTTTTCTGTTGTTTGTTGAGGCATGCTGCTACTACACTGGCTTTCTTCACCTACATCTGTTGATGTGTGTGGGATAGGAAGGGCTAGGTCATCTACGGAATCCAAATCGTCTAGTTGCATGCAAGTTGTCTGGTATACTTCTTGCTTACTCTTTGATGTGGAGGTTTTTGTAATCCATCTAAGCATCAGAATAAAGAGAAAGGGAGAGAGTACCCACCCTTGTTTAACCGTTCCTTACCCGAAATGGAGGGATGAGCTTGACAGATTCTTAAAATAATAGTATGATCTTGAAGCCAGTTTTCAGCTATCGAGTATTACTCAATCATAAATATTCGGTAAGAAAATAATGGTTTTCGGTATCTTTAAGTAGTTTATTGATTTTTAGGGCTTGGTTTCAATTTCGTAATCTTGATATTATGGAAATAACCTAAGTGCAAGTATATATGTAAAAAGCTTTTGTCAAGTTTTTATGTGTATGATATAATGTGCCCTAATACAGAAGAGTTAAGAAAAGCCCATTTATATTTTCATTACATATTTACTGTAGTTTGAATACTGAATCCTTCATGTATACGAATGTTTCAGGCTAAATGAATCCATTTCTGCATCTATTCCTTCATTATTTGTGAGCTTCATTGATCAATAACTTATGTATCCATTTACATTGACATTAAAAACATATATATTCCTTCTCTCCTCATTTTTCCGCGTGTGCCTCCTAATTTAATGTTCTTCTGATCTAATTAATTGTTATCAGGTTGCCCTCACAACACAACTCGTATTCTGGGTATTATTGAGGGAAGGATACTTGCAGAATTAGTCTGAAGTAAACACGCACCTAAACGGGTCAGTAAAATTTGAAGCCAATCAAGAAAAGCAAACATAAATTATTCGTTTTTAAGTGTACTTTCTTTATTTTTCCTATAGCCATGAATAGTTTTTTGGGATGTCCATTAACGCCTACTATTTCATTACTAACAAATTCACTGAAAATGTGATGAGACGGAGTTGTAAACAAACCGTTGTTTTCTCCATGTTTATATGAAGAAGTTTTATGTTGAAATCATTACATGTTCTGCTATTCTTGCCTCTCCAATTCGTTTCCCATTTACTAATTTTTTCTGACTGCACTGTAAACAATGTAATCTAAAACAAAACTCGAAGGTATATAGGTATCAGTAACATGTTTTCACATGGTAATTTCAGATAAACTAAACATTGGGTGGTTTATTATTGGTTAGGATGAAAATACATTATTGACGTCCCAAATTGTGTAAAAATTAAAATTTCTGACATTTTGTAACTCAGTGGAACCCTCTTCTTCAGAGAATAGAAAAGGAATATATATAATATTCATAAAAACTCGAAATTAGTTGGCTCGATTCAAATAGGCTTATCTCTGTACTACAATTTCGCTATTATTTTTATTAAATTTAAAAGTCCGATCTTTCCCATATATATTAGTGTGTCTTCGTCACCGTAATGAGAGTCAGCAAATTAGTCCTTGTTTTATACTTGCAATAACCCCGTCTATTTGAGTTTCTGGGACCCTACCGTAAATGGTCTCAAATGAAGTAACTTCGTACTTTTTCGACTAAGTATATTTTGTTAATTGTAATTTTTATTGAATTAAACTACTGTTCCAACTGTGTTTACTGATTGAATGTTTCATGCTTTATGGGATGTCCAAGGTTATTTGCAATGTTTCAATGTACACAGCGTGTCGTAGTCAGCAATTCCCATCATTTTCTCGTTTATTTAGAAGGTTGATTTCGCTTATCAAATTGTAATTTTCATTCAACAGTTTAAATCATAAATTTATTGTTTCACATATGTTTTTCATCTGCGATGCCAAGCTTTAGTGTACACCGAAAGTGTAAGGTTTTTCTTAGTAATGGTGTAGTGAACAAGAACACAAACGCGAACAATCGAATGTATTTGAATACGAAATTACAGAGCATCTTGGTAAAATCTTGGAACCAGACCCCAAAATGCCCTGGTACGGCCGAGAGTGGGGTGTGTCCGCCCTCCCTCTCGAAATGCTCTCACACGGCCACGCGTATACAGCCTCTGCCAGGGAAGTCCCACTCATTGCCTTCTCGTGGCGGGGGTGTCGTTTACGAAAATGAGAGGACGAAAAGCGAATGTCCGGCGCTTTAACCGGATCCCAAACCAATGGTGCACATTGGCTCCAGTATCCTGCGGGAACAAATGGCGTATGAACCAATCGCTGGTCACCGGCTACCATGGGTATCATCTCACGATGCTCCACTGCCTTGTGGATCAGACCTTTAGGTCGAAGGCTCGGGGTGTGGCCCCCTAAGAAAACCACCTGCTTCGGTCTGGGCACCCGGGCAGTATCACAGCCCACACGCACAAATATGGTGTGGCGCATATATATTTGGTGCCCTCTTGTACCGATATTTATGTGTTGAAATAATGATAATAATAATAATAATAATAATAAATATCCTTGGAACCATAAAGTAAATCCTTTATTTGCAAAATATCAGTCAAATGTCTCAAACTTGGCTGTTCCTTCTGCAAAATGTCAATCAATCGTCTCAGACTTCATTGTTCTTTCGTTTCAACACCAATCGTTTTTTTCTCCCCGTTCTCTTTTCTTTAAGCTTCTTAAACTTCTACCTCCAGGCATTTCACTTTCAATTGATGATACATACTACTTATGTCTGTCGGCATTAGTAGCACACAACACAGTAGTAATAGTATCGAATGTGATATGCGAACTTGTAAATTCCCGGGTCTAAGCAGAACGTATCATACTGGTCAAAAGCACTGTGAACACACTTAGGTGCATTATATTGAATTACATGGTTAGGTATGTGCAAAACAAATTTTTAACGAACGCTATAATATATTCATAACAGATAGTTGGTGATATCTCTATCCACTTTGAGTGAATTCTTTAATAATAGTTACACTTATATCCAGAATCTGCTCTCCAAATGGACTGGGAAATAATCGAAAGTCCTGCATGCGGTGTACACCTGATCAACATTAGGAACATTGCGGATAACCTCAACTATAAATCACTTGTCGTTTTTGAGTTAACTACGAAATTGATATAAAAAGCTGTGACTTACTGATTGAGTTGCTTGCTTTTCATTGACTGAAGTGACACCTGCTCTGGCCATCTATGTTTAGGCAGTCAGTTTTTGATATTACTAGACTTCATATAATCAGTTCAACTGAAAACCTTGAATACATGAGCGTGAACATGGGCCTAAAAAGTTACAAAATGCAAGCATCATGTTTTTATTACCATAGAATTTGTAGAATATACCAGTGAACAGGGCCGTTTCATCAAGTTTAATTGTGTGTTTCTGTGGTATAAGAACTAACAACCTATTTACAGTTTCCAACTTTTGTCATTAGATTTGAAAAAAATAGACTGTCGACACGTTTATGCTCTCTTTCATTTATATGTAGGTAGATATACCGAAAGCTCCAGGACTAGGTCTTATGCTTAACCGAGTGGACTTTAGTCAGTATAATACAAAATATCAAAATGACGGTATCCATCAACCAATTGATTGGAGTAAATATGAAGTGAGTTTTTCGAATCTTTCTACTACTTGCTTTATCAATTTGATACAAATAAACTTTCCTATTGAAGTCTGTCTGTGAACTATTTTCATTTCCAGTGAGTTTTTCTATAGTTGTTTTTTATATCACATTATAAATTGGGGTTTACTATATCGCAAATTAGTTAAAAGTCTGGATTTAGCCTCATGTACGAAGCTATTTCGTTCTCGCGGTGAGGGTGTTATTTACGGAATCGGTAGGACGAAAAGCGAAACTCGGTGGACATGGAGGATCCACCTACGGGAGTTGCAAAACTCTGGTTACAAACCAATGGTACACATGGGCTCCAGTATTTTAAAGGGACAAATGGCGTATTAGCCTGTTGTTGATCACCGGCAACCATAAGACTATCTCCACTACCTTATGGATTAGACCTTACGGTCAAAGGCCCAGGGAGTAGCACTTAAGCAGTATCTTATCCCTCACAATAGTTCTTTGACTTTTACGTAAGTCTGTAATAAAAGTTTACTATACAATTGTTCTGTCGTTTTCCACAAAACACCTTAGTCAACCTTCATGCACAAACTCGATAACTCAACACTTCTTTGTCTTTCACGAGTTAAAATCTAAATGTTTATCTAAAGAAGAGCATTCGGATAGTATTAAATATGATGCAATAGTTAATTTTTTACTTGTTCATTGTATCCTTGTTTTCCAGTGTTAGATAACTGGAGGCAAAACGTCGGTTTTTCCTAGGTTTCTTGTTTGCTGAAACTCACTCCTTGTCTTTTTTCTTTTTCCAAATTTATTTCACTGGATTATACTCCTTGAATAACATCTTCAAACCCTAGTGTCTCCGATTACTTCTTATATTCTTACTACCTCTACCACTACGGGATTTGAATCGACAACTACAGCTATATTCTAACGTGGTATGGGAACTTGAACCGATGTACGTACGTACGAAGTTCTACGTTCTTACTGACTTGCTGAAACTCGTCAACAAAGTATATCTTTATTCTTAAGAAAAATGGTGCTCTTTATGAGAATTCAATGTCAGTGATCACAAAAGTGACTACAGAGCTATTCGAGCGCCAACTAACCTATCATAGGACTGAACTTTTCACACACTAATCACAAAGCAGTAATATTAAATAGTGCTATATTTTTCTAATCGTTAGCGCTGATGCTAATCTAATGTGTAGCTAATGTGTTTTTTAGATTTTAAATAATATTCTCTGCCTATTTTTTTCCTTTCTATTAACAGGAGCAAAGAAACGAATTCAAGATGCAATATGTATATGAACATATTGATCGAATCGAGTCAGTGGAAAAGTCGTATCCTTTCACATTTATGAAGTATTCAATATTAGTTTGTTATCCGTGCCACGGTCTTTCATGTACCCATTAAGTTAAGTTTCAGTGTATAATTATTTCCTTGCAACTGTGGTTTCTTAGAAAATGTGGTTATGTAACACTGATAGTTTTTCTGTCCTTCTTTGCAATCACTTCCTAATGAAAAATCAAGTAAAAAGTGATCATGTCCACACTAGTAACTGGCTTTATATATTTCGTCAAGCAAGTCTGGAGTTAAAGAGAGAATCGATGCACCTACCATGTCAGACAGGTCGGTTAAAGAGCGATAAGACTAAAAGCAGCAAACCCAAGGTCCGAAAGCGAAGTCGTACTGCTGACTGTACAGAGGTGTGACAGCAGTAAGGTGTTTCCTTCAGACAACCAGCATGACAGTGATGCTGCCTTCCCACAAGAAGGGGTGGGGTTGGAAAAGGTCGACCCTAAAACGCACACCTCGCCTTATCCAACGGACATCCGTCTCCGGCGGTAAGGTCCCAAAGAGTACGGAGCTAACACAAAAATTACCCATACAAAGGTCGTGTGTGACCGACCTCAAGCAGTTGTCCCTTGGGCACTGTGGTCACGTCCTCATGTCACTAAGATCACCTCTAATCCAATTTCCTTTTCAGGTACCTCCAGAAGAACACTTCCACGGTGTGGGCAACCGGGAAGTGATAACGGCCCTCATACCTCTAACAGCATTCAAGACCACTGTATTCATAATCAACCTACCTCTTCAATTCCTATTATTCCTCCTACATCGACTTTCGACGCTAAACTTCCTCTTTCGGCTTCCTCCTCATATGTCACCATAGCCAACGATTCTAGTGCTCAAAACACTATCACAGGTCTACTAAAACCTCTCTCCAAACTACACATTAGAGCCTTCAACCTACGAACCCTATGTCAAATCGGTCGACAGGCTTCCTTGGCTAAAACCACAGAATCTCTTACCAGTGATGTATGCTGTGTCTCCGAAACACGCATACAGGATTCCAGTGTGGTCATTCACTTGACCTCACCTCGGCAAAACGGAGAGCCAACGAGATACACCCTCCGTGTATCTGGTGACCCGACGCGCAGCTCTCGTGGACTGGCAGGTGTAGGCATAGCACCATGCATGAGGGTGAAACAAGCACTGTTAGAGTGGATCCCCTTTAACAGTCGTTTATGTGCTGTTCGGCTAAACGGCTCCGTAAGGACTCGGAAGGATAAGGACACACGTTGTTGCCTTTTTGTCCTTTCTGCCTACGCTCCCACCGACTGCAGCTCAGATGAAGTGAAAGATAAATTTTACGTAAAGTTATCTGAACTTCTTCAGAAAGCTAAACGTTCAGATATAGTACTCGTAGGGGGTGACTCTAATGCCCAGATTGGTAGTTTAAACTAAAGAGAAAGGCATTTAGGTGGGTGTTTTGTATTCCAGCACAACGAACAGATAATGGTGATCGTCTGCTGCAACTGTGCTCAGACAATCGTTTATTTTTAGCAAACACAAATTTTAAGCATAAGGAGAGACATCGTCTAACATGGCGACTTCTTACACCAAATCAACGATGGACTCAAATAGACCATATTGCCATCAGTCATCGTTGGAGAGGGTCGGTACAAGATTGTCGCTCATTCTGGAGTACCTGCTTGGACTCCGACCACGCCCTAATACGGGCACGCCTCTGCTTGCGCCTCACTGGACGCAAAAAAGCCACAGTAAAAAGACCCATTAGAACTGAATTGAGTAGCGAGAAAACCAAAAGTAAGTTCCAGGAACAACTGAGGTCACAATTAGGTAGTTCTGAAAACGAGGCTGACCCAGATGTTGCTTGGAAAGGCATACAATCAGCTGTGGAAACAGCAGTGATGTTTATTAGTGATTTAAACCAAAGGGTTACAAAGAACCAATAAATTTCCTCAAGGTCTATTGCACTGATGGATTCTCGTAAACTCATCCCATCAGGCTCTGAACACGATGAAGAGCGTAAACAAATCAGATCTAAGTTAAACAAAAGTCTAAGGAACGACCGTGAGCAGTGATGGGCAACGAAGGCAAAAGAGATGGAAAAGGCGGCGACTATAGGGAACACAAGACAGCTTTACAGACTTATAAAAGAAACTGGAATTAATAAGTCAAGTGTAAGTGAGATTATTTCGGAAAAAGACGATACTCTCATCTGCTCCCAGTCCAGACGTTTAGAACGATGGGTGGAACATTTCAGAGAACAGTTCAACTGGCCTTTAGCTACCCTACAACTACCCTCCATTCCCAGACAGTGTGAATGGAACATTGAAGTAGGCCACGCAACTCTTGCTGAAGTTCAGAAAGCTATAGTTAATCTGAAACGAGGAAAGGCAGCTGGTTCAGATGGATTGGCTCCAGAGGTCTTTAAGGATGGTGGTCCAATTTTAGCGATTAGGTTGACTAATATTTTAGCTAAGATCTGGGAGTTAAACGTTATCCCATCTGACTGGTTGCAATCACTTATCGTCCCAATATATAAGAAAGGGTCAAAATCATCCTGTGACAACCACAGAGGGATTAGTTTAACAAATATAGTATCTAAAATACTAACCTCGATAATTATCAGACACCTGAACTAAGGATAGGGAGTGAAGTAGTCGACAACCTCACTTATCTTGGAAGTCTAATCAGCCCTAATGGGCTGGTATCGGACGAACTCTCAGCACGGATTCGAAAAGCTCGCTTCGCTTTTGCCACCTTACGTCACCTATGGCGTAGACGAAGTATCCGTCTATCAATAAAAGGACGAGTATACTGCGCGGAAGTCCGTTCTGTTTTACTTTACGGCAGCGAAACATGGCCTTTAAGAGTAGAAGATACTCTTAAGCTATTAGTATTTGACCGCAGATGCCTCAGAAATATTGCTGGCGTCTGCTGGGATCACCTGGTAAGTAATAGTGAGGTTAAACATAGGGTATTAGGGAATGATGGTAAATCAGTCGATGAGGTTGTGAATATTCATCAACTGAGATGGTTGGGCCACGTGTTACGTATGACTGAACACCGATTACCACGACGTTTAATGCTAACCGGTGTTCGAGATGGTTGGAAGAAAGTAAGTGGTGGCCAAACCAAAACTTGGCATCAGTGCTTGAAGCCACTAACTTCTAGTCTGAGCCATGTTGGTAGATGCAGACTACTTAGTTGGGGTCCGCGTGACTTTCGTAACCAATGGCTGGAGACTCTTGGTGACATGGCTCAGAACCGATCACAATGGCGTAGGTGTATACACTCACTGTCCTCCCTTAAACTAAGAGATTAAAATCGCTTCATATCTTTCTTTCTACGAACTAGTTCTTTCTTCCTGTACTATATCCTTATTGCAATCTTCCTTTTATATATTACCACCTCTGAATTAACTACTCTTATGAATCCGGTGTTCATCTTGCTGTGTTAATGAGGTATGGCAACTTGGACCGATGCATATAAGTGCTGGGTCCTGCGTTGTAGCTGACTGACTGACTGAACGAGATTCTTAAGTCTTAAATTAGCGTGGTGTCCATTCTGACATATGCTTAGGACTGTCGGAATATTGGATCTTCTCATTTCGACGGTAATCCGGGAAACAAGGTGAGCTGTGTAATTTTAGATTCGACCCATCGTGAGAAATCAGCACCACCTTGAGGTTAGTATGTATGAGTTCGAAGTGGGGTAGGGAGCAGAAAACTATTCTATCAACTGATCGGCTGACACGCACGCGAGTGAGAGAAGACAGTCAACTAGAACACTTCTATTGATTCCCGATTTCGTACCCGACCACACCGTACAATAATTATGAAAATACAATTTTGTCCAAAACTGGAGATGAGCGTAGAAAATAGAGTACAAAATAATACGTTTAAATTACAATAGCTTTGGAACAAAACGGGCTACAGCAGTGAATCAGACGAAAGCTTATAATCTGTAGAATAGACTAGAAACAAAAATAAATGTTACTGTTTTACAAGCTTTGAATTAAATGAAGTAACGTCCCCAAAAATAGCTTCCGTAGTTTGTTAAGGCTTCTTGTTTCTCTGTTCATATCACTCTCTAACCATAAGTATGGTTCTCTTGTCGTTGCTCCCTCTCCAACCTACTTGTCTATGTTGATAATATATAATATATAATGCCCAAGCCAATATGACTTTATTTTAGTCACCACAATAGGCAACCTGGTCTTCCGCTTATGATCTGGCAACATTATTTGTGATTGTACCATGTTTTTGCTTGTCGCGGAATTCCATGTGTTCGTTGTATTCCTTTAGATGTTAAAATATTTCCAACAACTGTCAATTTCTTTAACTTTTGTCAATTCTATTGTTAATGTTCAGTATGTTCCAATGGCTTTCTACATTGGATAATCATACGTATAGTTTGAGAGATTCTTCATCTCCTCTGATTGTTGTTGATAATGTTTCGAAAACCGATAATACTCAGATAACCAATCAAGATTATGTTACCACTCGCACACATTTCAACACTAAAAATAATCTAAATAAGAATGATGTTCCAGAGTGTGATATACCTGTTAAAAAAGAAAGGTTGGTATTGTGAGAGGATATCTGTTTAATTCTTCCTTTTATGTCAAGTAGTGGTTTTATAATAAATTGTTTATATTAGTCATAATGTTGTATTCTTCATTTGTTTTGCTTTATATTTGCCAAATGTATACGAAGAAGAAATATAAATACTACCATTCTAAATAGAGTTCCATCTACAATCTATTTTCAAAGTGATTCTCTCCCAAATTTTAGTAACTTCTTTATCTTTGAAAATGGTTAATAGGTAAGAAACAAAGACAGTAATCGTTATCGGTAATGTAGCAATCATAGAAGCAAGTGAACTTGTCATTCATTTGTCTCACTGGTCGATTGTCCTCTTAATTTTAATCCATATGTTTCCTAATAAATAAAGTAACCTAGTTGTCTGATTTTTTTACTGTAAACTAGTCCGTATCCCTTTCAAAGTATTCATAATTTATGCTCTTGCTGTTTCTTCGAGATTCTCACTACTTATTTTAGTAGTCTTATGTACTTTGACCCTTTATCAGTGTGTTTAGTGGTTCTAAGTTTTTGTTTTTGTTTGCGATCTTATTTCGTTATTGTGTTCCCTATTCTCGATAAACCTGAGTAGATGAAGCCCTTTTGCTTAGTGCTGCCAAAATAAGGTCACAGTATATTTACAATTACATGTAGGATAAAAGATGCTTGTAGGGATGTGTATGGGGCCCCCACAGTTCGATTAACTTCCCTCATTTTATTTTGCATATAACTTACAACGTGAACACAAGATACTTTGTGACTCGGTATATCGAGTATCTTTGTACTTAAGCTCAGGCATCTTTGTGCATCCAAGACCAATATGGGTAAAACAATTAACTCGCAAATGGACGTTGGGTTTTTGCTACACAAACGCTCGTTATATCAGAAATATAACATCCTTGTCCAGCCTAATGTTAAAAGAATTAACTCGGTATATTTGCCACTAAAGTGTTGCTTATAGTAGATGTAGACCGTGCTTAGATTATTGCAAGATACATTTGTACTAGAAATGATAGGGTAATAAATTTCAATGGAGGAGGCATAGCGTTATATGTTAAAAATTACTTTTGAGTACATTATTGACACACAGTAGTAGCACATATAAGGTAGCTATTTGTACAATCAAATCTAAACATGTGTTAGTGACTATAGAAGCAATATACCGTAGTTAACGTTGTCTTACTGACGACTTTGTCCGAAGTTATATTTGCACATGTGAAGCCGATTGTTGTGGCACATCAGTTAGATAGGACTTACAACGTCAGGTGGATGTTTTGATGGTAGCCTGCTATCAATTTTATTTAATGAACACTTGTACATTGTATCCCAAAACGGACTTATTGACTTAAAACATGAACCATCGTTGTTGAACCTTTTCTTCATACTGTTGTGATGATGTTATCAACATTCAGTACCTACTCTAACCAGCTAACATTGATCACGTACTATAATTTAGGTTACGGACACATTATACAGTATGTATCTGTTCCACCTTATCCCAATATCTGACGAGCTAACATTCCTGCAATCAGAGACTGTGCTCTCTCAACAAATTGATCCGTCAGCGTGGATGGGGTAATGGAAAACGAATAAAATAAGTCTAAAGCCAGATTCTAGGTCATTACCGTTAAGTCCATGGTCAACACTTAGCCCATCACGTTGCACTTCATGGATCGTTATGGAATACCGAAATATGCTATGGTGTTTTGGAAGCAATTTTCGGGCTTTTTCTTGATAACGAGTGACGTATCACTCAAATGTGGTTACAAAAACTGAAATATATATAAAAGCATTATAGTTGGACGTCGCACTAATTACGAAAGACAGTTGACACACGATAGCTGTACTTACGCAGAACGATCGTTTCGTACATTAAGCGAAGAATTAAACGTAGTAATGGAATTCCTCTGTAACGGTAATTAAATCAAAATAGTTTAGTAAGTCTTCGAAATTGATGCTGACCTCATTTGTTTTACTGGACATACTCTAGCTTAAGGCACTCGGTCACGAATTTGCATCAGATCGCGAGTGTGTACGCCGTGTTAACCATCCCTTGTGACGAATAGCCAGCTCACACCAAACACTTTTCGATATATTGACAGCCATCCAAATAATTCTTCGATCCCCATCATTTCTGATTTGATTAGGTTGGTATGCTTTAACTATAATGGTGTTACATGTAAAGGTGTTGTCAAACTATGAGCAACTATTCCATCTTTAGTGTTGAGCCTGACGTGATCCGGTACACCAAACCATAAAATGTGAGTCTGTTACCTGGAACATTACATATTCCTTCTGTTTTTACGCATAGCGATATCGATTTTATATTTGCGGGTGTTTTTTTCGCCAATTTGCGCATCTTGTCTCTATTATGTCGCAAAAGACACCTACGCGGTTTAAGATTAAGACTTACGCCTTTCAACTCATCCCTGGAGATCACCAAAAAACCCAGCACTACGGTTTATTCTGTCAAAGAAAAGCACCAAACAAATTCCATTGTGTTCTCGTTCTTCCTTTCTTGATCTTCTCCATCTTCTGCTGCCAGACATTACGTTCCTTCAGCTCACGTTATATACTACTTATATCAATATAAGTAGCACGCACCACACTAGGTCATCTACGGAATCCAAATCGTCTAGTTGCATGCAAGCTGTCCACTATACTTTTTTTGATCCTTTTTCAATTATCCTCCATAGTGGTTTCATCTTCTTTGAGTAGATCTTGTAGGGCTTGGAACGTGATGCTGAGAGCTATCTTGGATTTGTCAGTATTTCAAAGGAAGGATGTATTGAACGTTTTTAATGCTGTCTCTCTAGTTGTCCAATGTTTCTTTATCTTCAGTTTTATTTCGGCTACCACCATGTGGTGATCTGAAGCTATGTCAGCTCCTCTCCTGGTTTTTACGCCTTCCATTGACTTTCCGAACTTTTTACTGATGTAAATATGATCCGTCTAAATCTCTGTAGTGTGATCTAATGAGACCCATGTGGCTTTGTGTATGTGTTTGTGTGGGAATATTGTGCCACCTATAACCATTTTGTTGAATGCACGTAGATTTGCGAATCTTCCACCATTCTCGTTTCTTTCTTCCAGTCAGTCCATGTCGTCCCAAGACATCTTCATGCCCGAATTCGGCATTTAAGCCCCCCATCAGAATGGTCAGGTCCCTTCCTGGGCACTTCACTAAGATCGATTGCAGCCTCTAAAAAAACTGATCTTTATCGTCGTCATTGCTATCATTGTTTTGTGCATAACATTGAATAACATTCATTGTGATTTCCCCTTTCTTTGTTTTGAGGGATGCTTTGATGATTCTGGGTCCACGAGGTTCCCATCCTATGAGTGCTTTACGTGCCTCTTTGGATGTCATCAGAACAACTCCCTGTGTGTGCGGAGCATTTTCTTCCTCGTGACCAGAGTACAGCTACATCTCTTCCGAATCTATTCGTTTCTATCCACCTTAGATCCAATGGGTGTATGATGTATGGGCGAGAATGATCGTGATTGGTTGTCTGTTTAGTCAGATATGTAAAGTCTGACAGGTGTCAGATGAGTTTTGTATCCCCGATCCTTGTATTTATTTTTGATTGTTTATTGTTGTTGGATTGTGTTGGGTCTTCGGTGTGGAAATATATTTATGTTGTAGGCAGGCTAATCACGGGAATAGAAATGAAGGAAACGCGAAACACGTTAATAGTTTAGTAAGCGTGTTAGTGAACACAGAACAAAAATAAACGACTATGTGTATATCGCCAAACGAACAACAAAAAGATTAAAAATAAATGCTTATTACAATAAGATTTGACAGTAGTCTATGTGTTTGTGTAGTAGTAATTTGGAGTGATGCTACAATAGTCTCAATTAATTGCAAAGGATAATCAAATATCATTATATATGATCGTTTAAAGATCCCTATATTACAAAGGCTAATATTCGAACGAAGAATATCCTTTTCTACAATTATGTATCCAAATTAATAATCCGAAAAATGGCCAGGTTAAGTCAAAATTCGTCGTTTAACGTATGTGAATTTAGTATTGTTGAACAAAATACAATAAAATTGTTAATGTTGATATGACCCAGATAGAATGTTAACTTGAATCTGCGTATATGTGGAATTTAAGATCCATGATCGGAAGAAATATGGGTCAGATAGGGTGAGAGTAATAATAGTGCAATTACAATTCGGTCAAATGATTAGTGGAAAGCTATATTGTGTGAAAAATTAGTAAAACGTAATAAGGAGGGATAAATGCATAGTGAATGAATCATGTGTAGGGGAGATTAATAATGATGCTTAAACAATAGTAATAATAATACAAAGATTTGTGAATAACGATAACATGCAATTATAGCTGACTATGAAAGGTCGTAGTCGAATTATGTCACTGACCTGTTGTTGGTCAGGGTAAGAGGAGTGGTTGGAGATAGATCTTCTGTACTCATACCTCCGGTTTCTTCATTCAGTTGGCTACTGCTTCAGCCGTTTGAAGGGCTTTAAATCTGGAGCTTTGGCGAAAAATACTGACCTTATAAATAGTTGAAGAAGAGTGGTTTATACTGTCACTATTACCAGTTCGTACTAAATGGGCCAATATCGAGCTGTTCACTTTCTTCATCAAACTCGTGTTTAGGTGCGCTGGGAGGTGCTCACGAGCACGAAAATTCCTAGAACTTCGACCAATAGAACTCGCTCCACAGGAGCAGTCGAACTGATAAATACAAAATTAGGTAGTCATTCTAGGTAATTCATCTTATGGCCTCGGTGTCACCATTGGGCGTTAAAAGATTTTTGTATTGTTCTGCGTAATCTCTGAGTTAATATTTGACTAGCCATATCCCCTCTGAATTGTAGACGCATTAACTGGGACTTCTTCACTGTTTGCATTCCGCCTACTTTCTTGATCATATATTTAATTATAAATTTTCTAGGGTAATCATTCTCCCTGAGAGTATTACGCAAGGCGTTAGGCTCATCTTGAATTAAATGAGCAGAGTATATAGTGCGTATACGGTAACTAAGGGTTTTGATCAAGTTTCGTTTGTACTATAGAGGTACGAAGCTAAGGAATTACGGATACTGCCCAGTCCATGTACTTTTTCTGTTTGTTTCTTTTTAACGATCCATCCGCACTTTTAGTTAAGAGAACGTCCAAAAAGGCTATTCGACCATCACTCTCTTCAGATGTAAACTGAGTGGCTGAATGTTCCTCATTAAATCGCCTAAGAACCTCATACTGTAAAATATTATCTTTACAGAGGATGAACATGTAATCCATATATCTACAGTAAAATGTGAAGTTTTGAATAATCTTTTTTAACGGACCATTTTCTAGTTTGGCTAGAAAAATATCAGCTAGTATAGGGCCCAGTTGTGAACCCATTGCAACACCATCTGTTTGTCAATATATTTCACCGCTGAACCTGAAATTCACATACGTGGTGCAT